TTTTTGAGCAATAAGCAGAGAAGAAACATTTCTCAAAACTGTAAGAGCCATCTATGAAAACCCATAGCCAACATTTTGCTCAATGGGCACAACCTGGAATTATTCACTTCTAAGAACAGGAACAAAACAAGAATGCCCATGTTTACCTGTCTTGTTCAACATAGTGCTGTAAGTCCTAGCCAGAGCAATCCAGCAAGAGAAGAAAATCAGGGGTATCCAAATAGGAAAAGAGGAAGTTAAGCTATCCCTCTTTGTGAACAACATAATGCTATGCCCTAAAAACCCCAAGGAGTCTGTCAAAAGCCTTCTCACACTGATAAACGACTTTGATAAAGTCTTGGGGTACAAAAATCAATGTGCAAAAGACAGAAGTATTTCCATACACCAGCAACAAAGAGGTGGATAACCCAATAAAAAAAGCACAATCTCATTCACAATAGCCACAGAAAAGAAATACTTTGGCATCCACCTAACCTTGGCATTCACCTGAAAGACCTTTACAACTAGAACTACAAAACACTGCTCAAAAACATCAAGAATGACACAAGCAAATAGAAAAAACATCCCAAGCTCATGGATTGGATGAGTCATTATTGTCAAGATATCCATCCTACCCAAGGCAATCTACAGATTCAATGCAATATCCATCAAATTACCAACATCATTCTTTTCAGACCTGGAAATGACAATACAGAAATTCATATGGAAGCAAAAAAGAGTAGGAATAGCCAAAATAATACTCAACAAAAGGAACAAAGTGGGAGGTATAACACTTCCAGACTTTAAACTCTATTACAAGGATCCAGTAACCAAAACAGCCTGTCATTGGTAGAAGAATAGGCACATAGAGCAAATGGAACAGGACAGAGATTTTGGAAGCAAAAACTTGGTCTCCCAACGACCTCATCAACAAAACTACTAATAACAATCACTAGGGAAAAGAGACCTTTTTTAGCGAATGGTGCTGGGAAAACAAACTGACCACCTGCAGAAGAATGAAACTGGATCCCTACTTATCAACATATACAAATATCAACTCTAAATGAATCAAAGACCTAAACATAAAACTTCAAACTACAAGACTCTTAGAAGAAAACGTAGGAAACACTCTTAGGCATATCGGAGTAGGCAATAAACACTTGACCAAATCCATTGTCAACAAACCTAAGATAGACAAGTGGGACCTCATCAAACTGAAAAGCTTTTGCATGGCAAAAGAAATGAACAAGAGAGTAAAGAGACAACCCACAGAATGAAAAATAAGAACAACAACATCAAGGAATTTGCAGCAAATTGGAGTTGGACACCATCCTACTAAGTGAACTATCACGGAAAAAAAATCTGAATGCCACACGTTCTCACTCATAAATGGGCCTTGAACATTAATCACTTTAGCACAAAGGAAGGATTGGCAATCACTGGACACTGCTAGGGGAGGGAGGGAGAGAGGAGAGTTGGGGAACATCTGACAACACAGGGGGAGTGAGGGCTTGTTACAAGCCCAGACTTCACCTGCCTACAGCCTACTTCTGTAGTTAATCCTCATTGTACCACAATAAAATGTAGTACATATGCACAAGGGAATACTATGCAGCCATAAAGAAGAACAAAATCATGTCCTTTGCAGCAAGATGAATGCAGCTGGACATCATTATTCTAAGTGAACTCTCACAGAAACCAAAAACCAGATACCACATGTTCTCATTCACAAATAGGCCTGGATTCCTGGGCTCACGAGCACAAAGGTGGGGAATACAGATGCTGGGTACTGCTAAAGGAGCGTGGTAGAGAGGGAGGAGGGACATATAATACCACACTGGTTACCAGGTCCACTACCGGGGGAGAGAGGGCTCATTAGAAGCCCAATCCTCACCTGCACTCAATTTACTTATATAGTAAATCCTCCTATGTATCCCACAACTCTAAAATAAAAAAAATTATACTTTTAATACTATAATACAAGAAAAATTTATTCGTGTGTTACACTGATGATGACCCCAAGTACCAGGCTTAATCAGTTCATTCTTAAAAATATGAATGATAATTTTTTTCTTCATGTTGAATTTATTGTTTCAGACTTTATGGCATAAATATAGAAAAAAAATCTTTCAACCACTTGAACTATTTAGATTCAAATCAGTGCATTTCTTGGATATGATCTCTGTCAATGCTGACTGCACTGGCTTCCTTTTGCATAATACCATTAGCTTGGAGTATAGGTAATGCATGAGTGGGCAGAGTGAGAAGAACATTTTATTCATATAAGGAATTCCCCTACCTCATCTGGAGTTATTAAGGTTGTCACAGAAGAAAATAACATTGCTATATTGATTGGAGGTGAAACAGGACGCAGACTGAAAGTGCCTCGTGGCATTGAGGAGCTACAGTCTCAAAAGCTTGGAGTACATAAGAGGTAGCCGCTACCGTGGAAATGCTTGACAGTTAGTGTGGAGCCTGCAGGTATAGCCACTTCCATGGAGATGCCTGAGAGGTAGTGTAGGATGATTGCTCTGGGTACTCCTGCCAGAGTTGGAAGGTAATAACTTAAAGGATATCTGGTACTTATACTCATCATTGGGTATTTAGCAAGAAGGCAGTATGAGGGTTGGAACACAGACGGGTGAGAGCAAGTATGGAGCCCTAATGCATGGATCAAGCCCGAGGTTCAGCAGTGGACCATTGGGAGACCAGAGTCTTGAATTCAACCTGTGTCTGACATGAGTAAGAGTCACCTTGAATTAGCATGTCAGCAGAACCCTTCTGGTGGCCCCATACTATGTGATTTTATAAAAGAAAACAATGGTCTCCAGAGAAAGTTTTATCTTCTCGTCAAGCCACTCTCCAGAAACTGGATCACAGCAATGGACATGGATCACAGAGCTCTTTAGAATGAATGACTGGCTCCACAAGCTGGTGGTTGATGGAAGAGAGGCACAGAGTTCTTTAAAGAAGAGAACTGAAGCCACACATGTTTGTTCCAGGCTCAGAGCACCTCACCCAGATATTAAGAACATTGCTGTCCCCATGCACTAGATGTGAACTTAGAATATTCTGAGGAAGCTACTTCTTGAGTTCCTCTGAGAAGAAAGCCCAGGAGAGGGCCTCTACTCAGCCAAATCTAAGTGTAGTATTTCAGTTTGATTATGAACCATTTCAGGGATATCATTATAGTGCACTCCAATCTACACTGTACACACTATTATGATTAAATTGAATGTTTCTCACTCCCATCACTATATTTAACCAGAAAGTTGCTTTATACATGTCACAAAACCCTTCATGTCACTGAGAGAAGAGAACACTTTGTCTTTATTTAGCATATGGTACAGATATTGATGACGAGGATGCTGGTCAATGCTTACTGTTCAGAATTGTGGACCACAGTGATGAATACTATACCAATTTCAGTCCCCTTTGTGCCTATTCTATCTGCATGTGCACTCAGAGTTTCTGCAGTTTTCCTTTTCTCTTTACCAACACCCACCCCAGGCTACTCATTCTATCTCTCACTTTTCTAGATGTTCCCACTTGGGATTCACGGTGAAATCTCATATATACACATAAACATTTCCTACTTAAATCCCCCATAAAAGTCAAGAATTTGTGGTTAAGGATTTATCTGTGTGATCTGCCTCTTGTTACATGAAGATAATGCTACAGATGGATGCATTTTCATACATTTTATGCATGCAAGTACCTGCCTTTCTTGGGGCCTCAGGTTTTTTTTTTTTTGTAGATAAAGGAATATATCAGATTTCAATGTATTTCAATACTTAACATTTTGTATGCTCTCATAAAATTTAGGTTTATGGAGCAAAAAATAATTTTTATAATTTGTAAAAAACAAATTATAAACAATGCCCACAAACCTAAATAAATTCCACAGTTTATTATAGGATGCGGGTATTGTGCTTAGCCATTGTCAAGTTTCAGACCAAGAGCTGCTCAGAGTCACAGAAATTTATCAGGTAACATTGTTTCCTTTGTCTTCTTGGCCCAATTTCCTAATATTTTTCTCTATGTACTTTTGAGTATTTTGCATATTGTCACGTAAACAGTGGTTTAGAACAGAGGTTCTATATTATAAGACATGAGAGAAACTTTTTGTAATTTCTAAGTATAAATTATTTGGGCGGTTACAAATTTCAGTTCAGTGTCTGTCTGTCCTATTTTAAAGCAAACCACATTCTCTAGCCATATCCAGAGTTTGAAAATGGAACTAAATATTGGCAACTTATAGGATAAATAAATTACACTTAGAGTATTTTGAGTCTGGCAACAAGCCTGACCTTGTGCTGAAACCATAGCATGAACTTGATTTCTTTTTTGAAGTTTTGTGTGGTCCTGTGTAAGATGAAGAGAAACTGCCTGATAGAATTCAATTTGAATTAGACATGTAGTACAAATATTCACATCTAAAATGACTTCGCTTCGAGTGAGAAAACAATATCATGTCTTCTTAATGCCCACAATGCATTCCTCCACTCACCAAGACTTTACTGGAGAAAGAATGATGAAGAAAAGGGAGCGAGGAAGAACAAAAACCTGAAAGAAGAAAGGGAGCAAGAATGGCAGGAAGAACATGACTGAGAGATCTTAAAAATGAGTCAAAGATTCTAGAAAAGGATTTAAGGAAACAACATTTAAGATTACTGTAAATAATTGAAAGCTATGAAATGAGATATCCTAATTCACACACTGCCACTGGATTATACTTATTTTATTCATCGATAAAATGAGATGGATCAGTGTCTTTCAGAATCTAAATTTACCTAAATAAAAGACGTATGGAGAAACTGAGATAGTTCTCACTTGTCTTTGCAGAAAGTTCTACTCCAAAGCCACCGTCACCTTCAGTCTAGTTGCTTTCTGCATCAGTCTGTAACCTTTGTCGAGGTACATGGAGGGAGCCAGGTTATGGGCAGCAAAGGTGGCTGTGCATTATCTGCAAGTCCTAAACCAAAAAGAAAAAGCATGATCTCATCTTACAGACTAAAAAGGAAGCTCTGATAATTTGGGTTGTAGTAGATACGGTTAACCCAAATTTTACACAGAATTATTCTTTCTGTACAAATATCTTTATGACCTGCTGTCGGATCTGCTTAGTCCTGATTCCATAAATGACAGGGTTAAGGGCAGGTGGGACAACCACGTATACATTAGCCAAAAGAATATGGATGTAGTGAGGAATGTTTTTGCCAAAACGGTGTGTCATAAAAGAAAAAAATGCTGGTGTGTAAAAGCACAGCATGACGCAGACATGGGAACCACAGGTATTAAAAGCCTTTAGTCGGGCATCTTGAGAGGGAAGGCAAAAAATAGCTCGAAGGATAAGCACATAAGAAAAAGCAATGAGGATCACATCCACCACAATATTAGAAATCACTGTGAGACCATAGATTATGTTGACTTTAATGGGTGAACAGGCCAACCGGGCAAGACCCATGTGCTCACAGTACGTGTGAGGGATGCTGTTATTCCCACAGAAAGGCAGTCGCAAAATCAGAAACACGAATGGGGTTACAAGAACTAAATTTCTTCCAACAACAATAGAAACTAGGATACTGATGGTTTTATTGGTGAGGATCATGGTGTATTGGAGAGGATTGCAGATGGCAACAAAGCGGTCATAAGCCATGGCTACCAATAGAACAGTCTCCATACCTGTAAACATGTGGATAAAGAACATCTGAGTAAGACAACCCCCAAAACTGATCTCTTGGAGATTGAACCAGAAGATACCCAGCATTTTTGGGATGGTGGATGTGGACAGACCCAGATCAATCATAGACAACATGGCAAGGAAGTAGAACATGGGCTGGTGGAGACTGTGTTCTGTCTTGATCACAAGAAGAATGGTTATATTCCCCAAAAGGGCAATCAGGTACACAATACAGAAGGGGAAAGCAATCCAGATATGTAAAGTTTCTAGTCCTGGTATTCCTAGCAGGAGAAAGAAAGGGGGATGAAACTGGGTGCTGTTGATAGAAGGCATTCTCCTAGCAAGTGCCATTGAATTCCAAAGTAAAAGGGATCTGATTTTCTTTAAGCTTTTCTTTTATTAAGGTCCTGGAGAGATAGAAAGACACTTATTAGTATGCTAGAAGTCATGATGTAAGGAGTTAATTTACAAGCATTAGGGTGTCACTTCTTTCTAAAGGGTAATTGAAGAAGTCTCTCAGTATAGGCTATTGTAGTGAGAGTCTGCATAGGCAATATTTTTCATGGCTTTATTTTTTAATTTTTGAAAAACTAAAACTAATCACAATGCAACATACATTCACATTACGGCATTTTCTTTCATTGTTTACTAAGTAACCCTTGTTTAGGGAAATTATCATACCCCATGTTCTTCAAAGTGTAGACTTGGGATCTCTAAGGAATTCCTAGGTACCCTTCTGGAAGTCCACAATCTCAAAAGTATTTTTATAATAATAGACAATATCAGCAGTTTTTATTCTCATTCTCTCATGAGTATACAGTGGAATTTTCCAGAGGCTATATGAGGTGTTATCAAAATTTATCAGGATTTGGGGTTTGTATTAAGTGTGCTTTTGTGTGTGTAAGTATGTGTGACATAGAGCGAGAGATAGAGTAAGAGCAAGAGCGAGAGCGAGCGAGCGAGCGAGAGAGAGAGAGAGAGAGAGAGAGAGAAGATTGCAGAGGTAGGAGTAGTGAGAGAAAGTATGTTTTATTACATATGTGGGTGCATCTGTCAGTTTTTCTGTAACTTTGCCAGGTAGCTATTTCACAGTAGAAATACACAGGCAAAGGTGTGAGTACTCCCTGTTCTATATGAGGAGAAAGAGAATGCCTCTTGTTCCCAGAGAAGCTGGGAAGAGAAGTGAAAGAAGAGTAGAATGTTTGCCAATGTTGAGAGGAAGATACCCAGCTGAAAGATCAGGGAACATTGATTTTTGTGATTTTACTTGGAAGAGTTGGAGGAAATGGCTAGAATGATGTGTCACAAGATTTATAAACCATAGTCAGCCCAATATTCAGGGTGTCTGTTTTTTAAACTGACACTTTGCCAGCTGAGGGCAAAGTTCCCAGGGAGGTGGCAGAGGGGACTCTTCTCTGATAGTATAGTTCAAAAAAGTCAGGACATCCGCCCTCTCATAATTTTGGCCTGAATGTTTGCCTTCTTTCTGCTGCAGCTGTGTCACTAAAATAGCAGACACTGTATGGCCAATAATCTCAAGATCATTTTTTGGGTGCAAAATATAAAGTTCATCCTTCTCTAGATATGCACATTGACAAGGATCCCTGCCCAAGAGTCCATTTAAAAAAATTAATAATAACGATCTTTCCCTTATTGTATGCCCACCAATGCTTAACTTCTGAACTTGTGGTTTGTTTTTACTCTTCTGGATTATTATTATTATTATTTGTTGACACTAGTGAAATATTAGAGAAGTTTTATGTAATTTAAAACCATTTAGAAATGACTTGAAATCTTGCTAAGCCATTTACTATCTTGAGATTCTTTGCCTAATTCTTTAGCTATATAGACATTTTTTCTTCTGCAAAAATGAGATTATAAATTCTAGCTAATGTGGTTTATTTTAAGGATAAATAAGATCAATATGTGTATAAGTGCCAGTGCATAGGGTATCCTCAACAAATTGTAGTTTTATATTTTATTAATATCTCCAGAAATTTCATTTTTCTGTTAGCTTCTTTGTTGTTGTTTTGAGTTGGAATTTCACTCTGTCATCCAGACTGGAGTGCAGTGGCCGGGAGCGGCCACTGCAGCCTCGACCTGCTGGGCTCCGGTGATCCTTCCGCCTCAGCCTTCCAAGTAGCTGGAACTACAGGTGCGCATTGCCACATCTGGCTAATTTTTTTGACTTATTGTAGAGATGAGGTCTTGCTAAGTTGCCCAGGCAGGTCTCGAACCCACGGACTCAGGCAATCCACTCACCTCAGCCTCCCAAAGCACGGGATTGCAGGCTGAGCCACCGAACCCGGCTTTCTGTTAGCTTCTTAAGACAGTTAAAATAATTCACTTCTTAGCAGAAATAAATTACTTCATTGTAAAAAGTCCATTATTCAAAATTAAGTAGTAGTTGCATATAAGATGACATGAAGGAGGGATGGCTAAGAAAAAGTTAAATTGATAATGCAGCACAGGGCCATTTATACTTATTTCTAGATTTTTTATGAATACAACCCATTACTGCTCAGGGAAACAATTTTCTCCCCTCATTCTTACAGCTTTCCAAGCTTGGTGGGACCTAAACAGTTGCTGACAGTGGAGAATTATCTTCACTCAGGCTCTTTCATAATTGTGCCATAAAGAAGGAGGCCAGAGGAACAGCCTGAGTCTTGCTGATATACCAGGGGTGTTGGGCTTATAAAGATAGCTTGGCTATGGTTCCATAAAGCAGTACAGACATGGGAACCATGTTAGAATGGGCAACATCTAAGTTCACCAAGTAAGGCAGAGAGAGGATAAAATTTTACAGAGAATAAAATTGTACGTTGTATAATATCTGTATAATTTGATTTGAATATTGACATAAGCCATCTTCTGTTTCAGATGAACCACAAGCTTAGTCGCTGGGCCTGATTCCCTCTCAACAAACCAATTAGGTAGCCAGAATAATCTCTCTTATTGAAAATAGGTGTAATCATGCTACTATGAGACTGTATTTGTAGTATTCTGGCAATAAACAGTGTACTGTGTGAGTATATGTGTGTATGTGCATATGTGTATGCGAGTGAGGGACAAATTCTGTGTCACATTCATTGGTATGCCGTTGTTCTCACCTGTGAATATCTGTTCCAATCGTATATGCTCTGTTGTGTTCCTCTGTGAAGAGGATGATGCTTGGGATAATTCCTCAGCAAGGCAGACCTCCTGTCCCCTTTTATCCTCATTTATATTCTTCTCTTCTCTGTAGCATCTCACCTCTACTGCCCAAGCATTCTTGCCTCTCAAATATGTTCTTCCTTTCTTCACTTGGAGAAGAACTGCAGTATCAACCCAGGATCCTAAAGATAGTAACTGAGTATCCCTTCAGGCCTCTGAGCCCCAAGTCTGCCTGGTTACATAGAGAAAAGTTTTATAGTGAAGAAGGGTATCCCTATGACTAAATATATTCCAGAATCCCTGAGCTTAGTCTTTAGAATCCTCTGGAGCATACTCGCATGTGCTCAAGGATCATTAAGTCTTTGTAACTCTTTATTTCTCTCTACTGCATCTGCAGAGAAACACCATTATACATATAACAACTCAGCTTAGGGGGAGAGATATGACATTCAATGATAGGAAGGAGTTTATCCTGAAGAGAGAGAAATTTTGGTTTTCTTGACTATAGTTAGGCTGAGGGACAACTGAATACATTAGACAACTAGTTGGTATTTTTTGTCTTCTAATTTCAGGCTATTTTGAGTTGGTAGCACAGAAATGTAGTGTCTGTGATCCAAAATAAATTTTGATTTGATCTGCCATGTTCTCATGTTCATGACTTCTCTTTTGATTAATGAGAAGCTAACTTCTTAGTTTCCTGATTCTCCCTCATTGTGTCTGTGTTCCTCATTGTATCCACATTCATCTGTCCAAATCAAGTCTAACTGTAGCCAATATCTGCTTAAAATTCCTTCCATGATCCCTGTTTTCTCCACTGTATGCTATAGACTTTATATGATAAAACACATGCCTCATTGTTGCCAAGGTCCTATATTCAACATCCAATCAACCTTTTTTAGTTTAATTTACTTCATGACTTCCCAATACACATTCCTATACTTAGTGATCAAAAATCCTACATATGAAATAACTACCTCTCGTTTCCACTTTGTTTCAACTCTTCCTCAATTACCCTGTCTTCCAGATAGTCTTCCATATGAACCAATGCAATGTGTTCATAAGATTTTTGTGTCTTTTGTATTTTCATATTAGTGTGTACCCTCTTATAACATACACATTATGTTTTTTGTTGGTTTTGTTTCCTATATTTCCATTCTTTTATGAACTGGTATTAGAGTGATGTTTAACTAAATTTTATCCTTCAATTCACCTATTATAGTGCCTTGATTTTAGGAGGTGCTATGAATTATTAAATTACATTCTTTTTGGAGCATAAAAATTCTAGTTTTGTGAGGGTCACATACCATATGACTTTATATCTCCTGATCTTTCCTTATGTATACTCTTCTCCTACTCTCAAATCAGCTTTTCATGAGAAGCAATATTATTTTTGCCTTAAACCATTTTTGATGTTTAGTTCATATTCCATTTGAAACAGAAAGTCAGATGTTCCCTGAGGACACTACTTCTTCTGAAAATGTTTGAGGGATCTGAAATGTTTTTCCACTATACCTCCTCATGCCAAATAGCCTAGAGGCCTAGTGCCTTTTCTAGTATCTAGAATCCATCAAACCTATTACCTTTTATGTCTAGAATACTCTCAGCAGCTGGGACTACAGGTGTGCACCACCACGTCTGGCTAATTTTCTCTCTTTTTTTTTAGAGATGAGGTCTTGATATGTTGCCTAGATTGGTCTCAAACTCCTGGGCTCAAGCAATCCTCCCATATCAGTGCTGGTATTATAGGTGTGAGATACTGCACCCAGGCTAAAGTGTATCTTAAATGTTTTTTCTACTTTGAAAAAAGATGCAATTAAAATTTTTATTATGTTTCTGAAAATGTTCTCATTTTACTCTCAAATATGAATAATGAGTTGAATGAGCACTGATTCCAAATGCAAAATTATTTTTCCTTAGGACAAGAAACTTTTTTAACATCCACTTTTTGCATTTGAGGTTTCTGATACCAGTCAGATTATGTTTCAATTTTATCTATGCTATTTTTTTCACTTATGTAACTTGAATTTTCCTTCTCTTTCTCTTGATACCTTTTCTGTGGGATAGCTTAAGGTTTTTGTTTAAATTTGTTGTGCTTATAATTTCCACCAAATAGTACCTAAGTCTCTGCTGGGCTCCTATTGCAACTTTCAATATAAAGTCTTGAATAAAAAATTTTATTTTTGAGTCAAAATATTTGTCGCCTAGGCTGGAATGTAATGGCGTGTTCATGTCTACTGCACCCTTGACCTGCTGGGCTCAGGAGATCCTTCTGCTTCAGCCTTTAAGTAGTTGAAACTACAGGTGCATGCCACCACACCTGACTAATTTTTTTATTTATTGAGGAAACGAGGTCTTGTCAAGTTGCCCAGGCTGATCTCGAACCCCTGGGCTCATGCAATCCTCTTCCCTTAGCCTCCCAAAGTGCTGAGATTACAGGCATGAGCCACCATACCTGGCCAAGTCTTAAATAATTTTTTAGCTGTAGACTTTTTTTGTTATTCTCCTCTTCTTTATTTTTATTTATTTTACCTTCTGAAACTTCTATTATATTTATCTCAGAAATAAATACTTGCATTAAAAAATATATTGCCACTGAAATTTAGACATAATTTCACAAAAATTATCTAGTCATACAATGGCTATATCAGGTGCATAGTTGACACCTCCTTACTTTAAAGGATAAGTAAAATGAAACTAGATAATACATGTGGAATTAAATTGATGATTATAAAAACTTGTGGACATATTTATTCTTTTTTTAGTTATCTCAATATTGACTCTTCTCATTGAGATTGTGTGATTACCATTAATAATATATTTTGAAAATATTTATTTTGTATGTTAAATTAGTAAAAATTACTAGAAATTTCATACAATTGGGTAAAATAATTGTTGTAGTTAATTTTAAAGTCAAATTTGACCTTGAGAAATATTCTACTTAGGTCATTTAATTCTTTAAAATGTCCTTTACTTTTAATTATCATTCTTTCTTTTCTGTTGCCATTTTTAAAGCCCATGAATGTGTGTTTATATCTGCTTTGGCCATTTAATATATTCCTATCATACTCATTTTTTCACACTCGAATTTTTTAAAGTTTCTTTACAATCTGTTTTCTGTCCCTACCCCCTTTTCTCCTATACACTTTAATACTCAAAGTCATCCAGTTGAAAACAATATACAGAATGAATATTTATTCTTGTTCTTTCTCTCTAATGTGTGGCCAAATCTTATGTGTCCCCCCATCTCACAACTGGTACTTCCTCTTTATTGCATTGCCACCACTTACATGCAGGTTGTTCTGTTGGTGGCCATATGACCTCAATTTGTGTATCTCTATGAAAGTAATCTTATTATTGCCTGAAAGGGATTTAAAGCATCAGACAGTTCTTCTGTCAGTGAATTAAAGTGCTCCTCCTTGGAATTCCTTTTGTATGGTATGTTTTGTGTTAAGGACCAATGTATTAATGTTGCAAGTACATACTCAGACACACATAAACACATACACCTCCAAAAATTGCTGCCAACATTTACTTTACACACATGCACAAATGTATAAATGTAATAAATGGTCAGTTTTGGTGAAAACAATTTTTTAAATTAATTATCACAAGTTTTTGACCTTTAAGGACTTACACTTCTATAACCTAAATGAATTATCTCTCATTCAATCTGCTATTAACAAAGAGACTCTTTACCCGCTCCTGTATCTGCTTGGTTCTGATCCCATAAATGACTGGGTTGAGGGCAGGGGGAATGACTACATATAGATTAGCTAGGAGGATATGGATATACTGGGGGATGCCATGACCAAAGCGATGAGTGAGGAAGGAGAAAAGAGCTGGGCCGTAGAAAGCTAAGATGACACAGACATGGGAGCTACAAGTATTAAGGGCCTTCAGGCGGGCATCTTGGGAAGGGAGGTGGAAGACAGTGTGTAAAATCCTAGCATAGGAGGTAATGATAAGAAACAAATCCAGAAACAAAATAGAAATATTTCCAAGACCATAATAGACATTGGCACTAATGCTGGCACAAGCCAGACGTGCCACTCCCATGTGCTCACAATAGGTATGAGGTATGATTCTATGTCCACAATAAGGCAGTCTCATGAGGAGAAAAATAATGGGAGCAATCATGCATAAGCTTCTTAGAACTATGACTGTAGCAGTCAAACCAATAATTCTGTTGGTGAGGATCGTGGTGTACCTAAGAGGGTTGCAAATAGCCACATAGTGATCAAAACCCATGGCAAGAAGAACAATGCTCTCCATGACTGTAAAAAAATGGATAAAAAAGACTTGAGCAACACAGCACCCAAAACACAACTCCTGAAGGCTGAACCAGAAGATGCCCAGCATCTTGGGGACGGTAGTTGTAGAAAGACTCAGGTCAATCATTGACAGCATGGCCAGAAAGTAGAACATTGGTTGGTGAAGGTTATTATCAATCCAGATCACAAACAGAATGATAATATTTCCAACAAGAGCAATTAGATAAACAACACAGAATGGAAAGCCAAGCCAGATTTGTAAACCTTCCAATCCTGGAACCCCTAACAATAAGAACGAAGAGGGGTGGGGCTCAGTGACGTTGGGAGAGGACATTATTCATCAGGCTGATGGTGGCCATGGCCTTAAAAGTTGTTTCCAGTTCCCATTTGGCAAAATTCATTCAACTTGAGATCTAAAAAAGAAAGCATAAAAAATTTCTCAAAGAAAATGCTGACATTTGGTACAAATTTCTCTAAAGTCCCCCTTTTATTAGCTCTTTGTAAATAATGCTGGTATTATTCCTCATCTGCACCATAAATATGAGAGGCTAGGCTGCCAAATAGGAGTTAATGCCATGTATCTCCTAAAATTATAGGTTCAGAGTAAATAAATGCACTTACTCTCTCAAGAAATAGATATTATAAGATGATAACAAAATTGATAATGGTAATAATCACCACAATAATAATAGTTATTATTAATTTATTCCTACCATTTTTCTTAGATATTTTGCTTACCAGTATTTGTGTATATTATCTCATTTAATCCTACTCACAATTTTATGATGCAAGTTCTGCTGTTATCTAGTTTAATAAAAAAGTTTTAATAAGCGAATTTTTTATTGTTTACAAAGCTAATAATAAGCAGAAAAGTCAAGATTTGAAAAGAGTTTGAAATTCAGCCATGTGACATTAATCTAGATTGATGTTTACAATATTTGTTAATGGAAATAGTGAAAGTAGAAAAAAATAAGGCATAAGAAAGAAAATGTAAAGTAGTCAAAACTTCACAGAAGAATTAATCTGCAAACTTTGCATTATCAAATGTAAAAATTGTTCTTTTTATAAAGCTATGATAATTATAAGGGTGTGTTAGTGACAAAAAAGTATATAAAGGGACAAAAGACTAGAATTGAGTCTAGAATTGATTAATATATTTCCTAGGGATCTAATATCTTAAAATGAGATGTTCCTTAGTGGTAATTTAAGGTACATTGGCAAGGAAAATGACTATCTGTGAAGTTTCTTCCCTATATGAAGTTCCTTTTGTTGGCATCTGAAACAGTTGAAAAAAATGTGACATCAGATCAGATTAGCCTAGAGCTAGTTAAGCTGTAACGTTTGAGTGCATAATTTCCAAGACTGCCCTCACTTCTGGTATTAACTGTAATTTTTGGGAGTTTCCAAAGCTACCTGCAGGTTCAATAATTCACTAGAAGCTGTCATAGAAATCACGAAAGCTATTATGCTTACTGTTATGATTTATTATAGGGAAAGGATACAGATTAAAATTAGACAAAGTGAAGAGTCTGTGGGGTGTCCAAATGTGAAGCATCCTTTGCTTTCTTATGGAGCTAGAATGTATTACCTGCCTGACATTAATGTGTGACAACATGCACAGAGTCATATTGCCAACCAAGGAAGTTCACTCGAGCTTTGATGTCCCGAGTTTTCATTGGGCTTCATTACACAGGCATAATTGCTTGATTGATTACAAACATGATTTTACTCAATATCTAGTTCAAATGATGCCACACGTTTCAAAACTCCACTGTAAGTCATGTTGTTGATCTTTATGACTTGGCCAGTCTTTACCCTAAGATCTAGTGTGGCCAATTGCCATTCTAAATAAAGACACTTCTATTAGTTATGGTTAGATTACATTTCATAAGCTAGGAGCAAAGATCAGACTTCTCTTCTGGGAAAGCAAAATTCTTTACTACACATCTGCTCATTCAGTTCCAAAAATATTCTTTGCTATTGCTGTATCTAAATTTTTTTATCTTATTCTTCATTTTGGCTCCAGGCCTCAGTTGCAAAGTCACGTTTCTTAGTAATCAAATTTGAGTTCAGTCAAATCCCTTTAAAATATAAGGCATAAAGGAAGACCAACAGCTAATCACCACGTTGCATCGTTTTCTGTATCAGCATATATGTGCAGTCATTCTGGGTATAAGTAAATTCAAGCTCATTATTCTATCCTTCTTTGCCTACTATGGATTTTTTTTTCACTTTGTATATCACTCGCTATATCACTACAAAGGCATTGTATGCAGGAAAAAGAAGAAAAAATACAGGATATTTAATATTATTGGGATTGTGGCATAGGAAAAAAATTTTGCTCTTTCTGGCTGTGTGACCTGAGACAAACTACATCATGTTCTGACTTTCAGTTTCATCCAGAAATAAGCATAGTACTATCTACATCATATTATTATTAAATAGAATAAATGAAGTCACATATGCCTAAAATATTGTAGGTGTCTAGCAAATTTTCTTCTCCAACATCTTCCCATTTTATTTCTCCCTCTACCTCTTTCTAGATCACTGATATGCAGCATTTTATTTCCTTTTCCAGGTCTCTAGGTTTTAACTCAAATTCTTCAAATTCAAATTTCAATCTTAAACACACATTACAGACTTAACTGATCACGAATACTTACCACAACCTCTCCTCTGTCTTAAGGAGTCATGTAACAACTGTCCATTCAATTTTTAAAACATATATATGAATGGTTTAGCATAGTGCCTCAGTACACCCTGAGAAATGTTAACAAAATGTCTACGTGTGTGTGTGTGTATGTGTTTGTGTGTGTGTGTGTTGGGGCAACAGATTTGTAATAAAGTCTCTAAGGACCAAAGAGTCTGAGGCATTAAGATTAAAGTGAATTGTAATCCCCCCTTGTCATTACACCAACTGAAGGGAAGCTCTAGGGACATCTCAGTGAAACTTTTGCCATTACTTGGTCATTTTTCCAGTTCTTGTTATTTCACACACTATTTATTATAGGTCTCCTTTTATTTTTGTCTCTCCTTTATTTCTTATTTTTTTCTCTGTCATTCTATGAACTACTTGGACTGATTCTTTGGGCTCTGTTGGGCATCCCCATAACCAGAAACTCTTTTTTATTTATTGTGGCAAAATACATATAACATACAATTTACAATTTTAAACATTCTAAAGTTTACAATTCAGTGATGTTTATGCATTCACAATGTTGTTCTACTGTCACCATTAACTAGTTCCAGAAAGTTTTCATCATTCCAAAAGTGAACCTTATACCCATGAAGCATTAACTACCTTTTTTCCTTTCTAGTCCCTCCAAACATTAATCTGCTTTCTGTTGCTATGCATTTTTTGTCTTATTTTATGCTGAATATTTCATATAAATAGGATCATGCAATATGTAGCTGTTTGCATGTGACTTCTTTCACTTAGCATAGTAATTTAAGTTGCACTCATACTGTAGTTCGTATCAGTACTTCATTTCTTTTTATGATTAAATAATATCCAATTGTATTGTTATATCACATGATGTTTATATTATACATTAGTGATGGATAATGGATTGTTTCTGCCTTTTGGCTATTATTGAAGATGCTTCTATGAACATTCTTAAACAAATTTTGAACACCTGTTTTCAAATATTTTGATTACATATCAATAAGTGGAATTTTTGGGTCTTGTGGTAATTCTATGTTTAACTTTCTGAGGAAGTATCAAATGTTTTTATAGTGACTGCATCAATTTGCATTCTCATCAGCAGTGTATGAGGGTTTCCATTTCTCATATCCCCTCTACTACTTATTCTTTATTTTTCAATATTATAGCCATCCTAGTAGATATCAAGTGGTGTCTTACTGTGGTTTTGATATTCATTTCCCCAAATGACCAAAAAGATGTTGAATATTCTTTCATGGTGACCTTGGTTATTTGCATATCATAAGAGAAATGTCTATTGAAGTCATTTGTCCATTTTTTCGTTGAGTTGTTTGTTTTTACATAGTTGAGTTGTATGAGTCCTTATTCACATATTCTGGAGACAAAACTATGATCAGATATATGACTTTCAAATATTTTCTCCCATTTTATGGGTTTTCTTTTTCTTCTCTTGATAGTGTTGATTTACAAAAGTGTTTAATCCTTAAGCTAATTTATTAGTTTTTTTTGCTTTTTTTATTGCCCTATATAAGAAACAAAAGCTGAAATCCTAATTTACCCTTATATTTTATACTAAGAATTTCATTGTTTTAGTTACATTTATGCCTTTGGTCATTTTTATTTTAATTTTTATATTAGTATGATTTAAGATTCCAACTTCATTTCCACATGGATATCCAGTTGTCTTGGCACCAATTTTTAAAAGATGTATTTAATTTTTAATTGATAAATAATAATTGTATATATTATGGGATGCAGTGCAATGTTTTAAAGTTTTAATAGATATATTTCACAAAGTGATCAATTCAGGGTAATTAGCATGTTTATCAACTTAAATATTTATCATTTCTTTGTGGTCAGAACATTTGAAATCCTCTCTTTTTGCTATTTTGAAATATACATTATAGTATTATTAACTATAGTCATTTTGTTGTGTAAAACTCAGCACCAATTTTAAATTTTTTTTATTTTTTAATTTTAAAGATGTGGGGTACAATTCAGGATTAGGTAAACAAGTGGACATCATACAGGTAAAGTTTGGGCCTCCTTTTGGCCTCCACTTTGCCTGGTTTGAGATCAGATACCTCTATTGATGTTGTGTGTCTCCCCTCCCCAGCAGTATCCCACCACTGTCAATGCCTTTCTTATAGTATTATGGTAAATGGTCAGGGTCCACTTATGAATGAGAACATATGGCACTTTGTCACTGAGCATTATTGATTCTAAGTCCATCCAAGTTGCTATGAAATCCATATGTTTGTCTTTCTTTATGGCTGCATAATATTCCATCATATATATGTATCACTTTTTCAGTCTACTTTTGATAGGCAGCACAGTTGGTTCCATATTTTTGCTATTGTGAATAATGCTACAATAAACAGGCATGTGCAGGTATCTTTTCTGTAGAGTGATCTGAGTTCCTCCAGGCATATTCTCAGAAGGGGAATTGCTGGACTATATGGAAGGTCAATTTTTAGTTCTTTGAGGAATCGTGATACTGTTTTCCACAGAAGTTGTACTAGTTTATACTCCCATCAATAGTGTACAAGCATTCTCTTTTCCCCACATCCTCTCCAGCATCTGTTGTTTTTTGAGTTATTGATATGGTCATCCTGACTGGAGCTAGGTGGTATCTCAGATGTGGTTTTAATTTGCATTTCTTTGCTGATTAGTGAGATTGAACATTTTTCCATGTAA